TCTCCAGGTGTCCCAACATAGGGATTGCTGTTGACCCAGGTCCGACTCTAGAATTTTCTATGCTTTTGTGGGTCTGACATGCCATGCGCTGACCTTTGCCGGAGATGTGTTTATTTTGAAATGCTAGATGTTTACTGACTCATCAAGCTCTTGATGGATCAGGCTCACTAAAAATATCAAAAAACAGGTGCGAGGTCTAAAGTGATAAACCTATAGTGTACATGTCGGAGTATAAAATGTCTATAGTTTCCTTGTCCCGTAAATATAAGGGGTCTAGAATGAACTAGGAAAAAGGTCTACTTTGATCGGTTCCACCATGTCAGACCTTAGCCTCCTCATACCCTAAGGTACACCCATTCTAGACCCTAAGTAGTTGAGAGCATTCTCAAACTACATGCGCTGTAACTCAGTTCAAAACGCATCATACGTCTTGGAGGTGCGCTATCGTTGCGCGGCCTGCTTTGTTCAGTATGAGCCGGCCACAGCAATTCAAGGTAGGTGCAAGATGTTTTGTCGCGTTAACTTGGTGGTCCCGCGGCAGGGGCTGCTGTCCAAACAAATCCGGGCGCCGGCCACGAAGCGCCCGTGTGTCGCCCGGAGGGCCTTCGGTCATAATAACCGAAGGTTATAGGCGCCGCACCCCCTGCCGCCGACCGACCCACCCCGTGTTCACCTCAGGTCGCGTAACTTACAGTGTTTTGCAAAAAACACTGTGTTTTACAGGGCTTTGTGCGCGTGGAAGATGCAACGTGTCGAAGATGGAGAAATGCATAAGCTGTGGGTTTTACAAGGGTGGTGTCGGTAACGCGCGCCGCGCGGACGTGCATAATCATTTTTTTTGGGTGATGGGCGCGCGCCAACATAAGTGGCACAAAATGTAGCCGAAGATGAGCCAACGGAGGTCCCCAAGATAGGTCCAAGCTGGGTTCACATAGCCTCAAATGGGCCAACATAGCCCCAAGATGGGCCAACATAGGCCCAAGGCGGGCTCAACGTGGGCCCAAGATAGGCTCAAGATGGTCCCAAGATGGTCCAACATAGGCCCTAGCTGGGCCAACGTGGGCCCAAGATAGGCCAACATAGGCCCAACATACAAGTAGCCCCAAGATGGGCCAACATAGCCCCAAGATCGCCCGGCTGTCAGGCGTAAGCCTTTAAATCTATCATCACAGGCTCCAGTCTCGTCCACCGCTCCTTAATCCATAGGGCTTCCTTGCGACACAAATCCGGCTGCGTTCAGCTTTATTTGGCTTCCCGTCACCAAGGAGGGGCCCGTTCTTCCAAAGACCGAGCAATTGACGCGCGTTTTAATTTTGCTCGGAGCGGCCACATGCGGCCACTCGACTGGCTGCAAAAGTGTGTGAGGGTGTGGCTCAGCAATATGGCCAAAAGGATCCAAAAGGCTAAAAAGCATTAATACGCAATATATTGACTGGGTGTTCTTTGGGAACCGATCTTATATATAATTCAAGGTGGATCTGCACTGAAGGCTCGGCTCCATGCATGGTGCAAATTCTCATCTTCGTTTTCCGGTTAGCGTCGCGCTCTGGAGCGAGGTCTTGGTCGACCTGTGAGAACAAAACATGCCAGCAGTTCGGCGAAAGCAGTCTAGTTTGAGTTTCTTTTTAGGCCTCTGCGACTGGACATCTGGCTGCCCCCGTCCCGGCTGTCTTCGTCGCAGCTATCCTTATCCCGGCTGTCCTCCTGATTGACTGCAGCATTGGCGCGCTCGTAACACAACGCACTTAAGCTCTGCGCTCGATAGGCGACGGCGAACATATTCAATTGTTCAATTGTTTGCGAAAATTAATGAGACTGGCTCAACGCCTAAAGGGGTGCAAAGCGGGCGTGTCTGGACTTCAATCCGTCTTTGTCATTCTGTAGAATCTTGGTAGGAAAGGCCGGCGTTCCTGAGCCCATCAGCCTAGCTTTCTCCCCGCCTTGGAATTCGCTTGGGGAACCCAAGTGATCGAACTGAGTATTCCTGACTGTTTCCTCAGTTAAGAACAATCCAATTTGGAGCAACATGCGCAAGGAACACTCATGAAGAAGATCATGAGGCGGGACGGGGATGGATAAGAAGAACATAGAACAAGCGGCGCGTCGCCATCGGAGTACGTCAAAGTGATTCAAATGACCACCGGACCATGCCATGGCACAACTGAAACGTAACAGGCGGGTCAACCCCCCCTCAACATAAAGAATCGCAACTCGTGACCCTCCAAAAAAACAAAACCGCTTGTGGGAAGTGGGAGGATTTCCCTTCCCTGATCTTGATGCTGCGCGGCGTTTGCGAGCAACACCGATTCAAGCAAGTTTACACTACACGCACCATGGAATAAACTTGAATTACTGTAAGGTTTGTTGCCCAAACATTGTGGAAAGAGCCTGCAACACTCGAATCCATGGTAAGCGGAGACAAACTTCCTGCCTGAGAGCGATCGCTCTTGGAGTTTCTTCTGGCGCGCTGGCTGCCTGCAGCGTTCGTGCTCAACATGTTACTTGAGAAAGGGGGAAACACGAAAGGTAGGAATTTGGAGGGTGCGGCGCAGGAGATGGGAAGACTTGGCGCAGGATAAATTCAGCAGGCGGCGGCTTTTTCTAGTGGGGGTTGCGCGGTTGCCCGTGAGACTTGTTCAAATCACCAACATCACTGTGCCAACGCACACAAACAAATCAAGAGGAGGGAGAGGGGGAACCGTTCATTGACGAGTTAATATCAAAACTCTAAGCCACGACGACCCAACCCTTGCTTCGCAGCACAAACTCAAGGTAGGCCTTTCAGGAAAGCATTGTTATTGACATGTGACAATTGAAAAGGCACACACACACATATATATATATATATAATATGGGAAGGTGCAGGAAAAAAGTAAAAACCTGACACAGGAAATCAATCAATGCCCTATTGAAGCGGCCCTGCATTTTTCATATCTTTCCCCAAACAGCGATAGCTATAGGCTATGGGGGCTCTTACTTCTCAATGACTAGGTGCCTGTATTCTGTTTTGGTTTGCGGCTGCTGTGCCGCTGCTGCGACGCAGCTGCCTTGTCTCCCCACTGTCTGCCTGTGTGATCGCCGTGTTGGTTTGCCGCTGCTGTGCTGCTGTCGCCTTACTGTATCTCCCCACTGGTCTCCTTACATGTCCCCCCAATTGTCTCACGGGCTCGCTGGGCTAAGAGGAAAAACATGCGCTTCCTTTTGGGTCAGTTGCTATTGGGTTCTGTGCCGGTGAACATGTCCTTTTGCTCATTGAAAGCAAACGCAATTGCTGGGGCCTTGGCTCCTGCTCCCTCTGCACGGTCTCGCCCTAGAGTCATCAGTGTCCTTGCTGTCGCGGATGCAAAGCAATTCCACCCACAAGGCAGCATGTAGCATCTGGTGCAAGAGGTTGCAGCAAACACAAATTTAGAATGTCCTGAGCATCTTAGAACATCTTAAACGGTTCCTAAGCCTGAACATAGTATATAGATGTATATGGCAAGCACTGGTCGATCCTCTTTGATGCGCCGCCGCTTGCCAGAGTGGAGGTTTTCACTTCCTCAGTTGCTCCAACACTTGCAGCAGCAGCCAAGTCAGCACACTGGCACTGGCTTGGCCTGCAGCAGTTCTTTTTGACTTGTGTGCAGGCTTCTTTATCCCTTTTTTGCCAACCTCACTCTCCTCGGCCAACAGCAGGCCAAGTGCGTTCAAGTTTTCCTGAGTTTGAAAGCTGCAAAACAAACGGTAGGAACCCTGAGCTTCAATTGCGTGCCCGCTTTTCGCCGACAATAGATGCCAGGATTATATTTGTGCAACGGTGACGCGGCAGGTAGGTCACATGGAAACCAACTTCCAAAATTTGCATGTGGTGGAGCAGCCACATCGTGGCTATATTTGCTGTAGTACCGCGCATGGCCCCACAAGGAAAACGACGAACGCTAGCACAAGGACACATCCATGGGCGCGGCAACAAGGACACCGAGGTTAAGACGTGTGCAAGCAACATAAGCGCAAGCACAGGGAAGCCATGTGACAACAGGCAGTTGTATGTGGCCGCCTGTGACCTATGGCATGGCTATGCAAGCGGCATAGCACACAAACAACCATTGGCCCGCAAGCTGGTGACAAGTCTTGCGATCATTGTGCTGATTGCTGCTTTGAATCACAGGACTCTGGTCGAGTCCTGGCCTGCCCTTGACATATACAATAATGCGCCGGCTGGCAGCAAAAACACGACCTCTGGCTAGCCCACACGCAACACCAAACAATGTTGTGTGCTTCGCTGCCTTGCATGTATCATCTACTGCTCCCGGTTTGTCCCTGCGGAAGGCCGCAAAAAACACACAAACACACAAAGCAGGATGTTGGCAGCCCAGGCGCCTTCTTCACTTTTCGCTTCATCACCCCCCTTGCCAGTTTGCAGTTTGGAACACTTTAGAACTCTGTTGGAAGCATGGTGCAATGCCTCGACTCGTTTTGACAGCGTACGCAAATGCTGAGGCTTAGACTTCTTCTTGGGGGCTCCTTTGTCGCGCCAAGGGCTCCATAACAAGTAATCGTTGATTCATGTTGATTCGATGGCACCTTCATGCATCTTCAGGCTATTAAGCACGCTGCGGTCATCGCTTTCAGCGCTTTCAGAACTTGGGCCCTGTGTGAACCATCATCGGACAGTTGCTGCCAATAGGGCAGCACCAATGCCACACGGCAAACTCTACGCCTTCATACACCTCCGATCTAGGACTCTACATGGGCTCTATTGGATCTTTCCTTTGAAGGCCCTTATACACTTAGCCAGATGATCACGACACTCCGATAACAACATAACAACCCTGCACACCAGGAATATTGCCGCCGGAAACTGGATACACTCGGACACCATACATGCAGCGAGACCTTCGCTTCTTTTGCTGCTTTTCTGTGCTCCTGCCGCAGGTTTGCTAAACACCTCTGCAACGGCCACTGAGTATGGCAAGAATATGAACCCACAACATGTCAAAGTAGGTCGGTCCGCGTACTTATATTGATCATCGATCATCGACATCATTTCTGGTGAAAGCAGCAAACTGCAACACACGAACCCGAGCGCAAACACCTCAGATATCCCCACAAGGACAAAGGAAATGAGGGACCCAGTTGGGAGAAAGCGGCCCAAATGTGTGACGGTGTTGCAGTTGCCTTCACAAAAGGGCGTTGGCTGCAGGATTGGTTTGGTGATCAACACGCGCCCATGGCTCAGCACAGTTTGTAGCACATGTACCACAACTCCCTGCTCTTGTACGGTACCCTGGTAAAGTATTCTTCCCCGACACTCTTCTAGGACACTTTCGTGCGGCGCTCTTGAGTGAGGCTTCCTCCGAAAGTAGTTTGGGAAGGCAACAAACATTGACCACAAAACGGCGATGGTTGCAAACGGTTCTCGCCGAGTCAAGTGAACCCTTCGCTGCACATTAAGGAAAAGGGCTGCTGAAAAGGTGACTTTGCCTACTGACCTACTGCACACCTTCACGCGATACAATCAGATCTGTCATGGGGCACAAAAAAAGCAAACAAACGGAATAACGGAATGATGGTGCACTTAACGCGCAGGCCATCAAGGAAGTCTGCGCGTGTTATCCGAGAGGACCCATCCGGGTAACACATGGTAAAACAACATGGGCGTTGCACAACCTTGACTCCGCAATAACCGCGGTGTTTGCCGCTGGGATTGGGCTTGCAACCCCAAAGACTGGTGGCCATGCATGCATCAGAGGTTCGGCAGCAAAATCTAGTTCTAGCAGCTGTCAAGGCCACAAGGTGTCCAATCACCAAATCAAGAGTTTCCGCTTATTGAATCCAGTAGATTCCAGTAAGTCTTCTTGCTTCAAGAAGCAGGGTTGGGAAACAATGAATGATGGAATCATGCAAAATAGTGGCTGAACGCACTGAACGTCCAACGAAAACGGCGCCACAAATATCCTTCGGCATGAAGGTCTGCACCGGAGCTGTGGCCACAGGCGGTGGCTTTGCCAGTTTTGCCTCTGGTTCCGGCTCCTCTAAAACCTAAGTGGAGAAGGTTTCACCAACTTCAGGATCTTCTTTCTGAGGAGTTTGCCCATTTCCAGCCGCCTTCCTTGACATGTGTCTTGGGGATAGTCCTTAGTCTTTTTTTGATGTGTAATATTGATATGATATGTGTGTGTGAACGAACTGTCTGCGCTCTGCTACTGTAATTTTTTTGAGGCCATCCATCATCATTCAATCATCGAGGTTTGGGTTTCTGGCTTCCCACCATCCAAGCGCCACATGCCCGCAGGGCCGCCGCGATCGCCCACCACACGATAGCGCTCACCCCTGGGACCAAGCAAAGGTCTGTTGCAAACCAACACACAATTCTGCAATGAAATGTGTGCCGCCCCGACTGCATCCCATGAACCCGTCGAAACTTAACTCAACCACTCTCCAACCTTGTAAATCCGTCGGTTCAACAACTCAAAGAATTGGCTTCCCGCTTCAAGCAATCATACTTGGTCTTGAGGATCTCAACAACACCATCAATTCCTGGTTGGAGGCGGGCCCAAGCTTGAACCACTATCTCCCTTTACCTTTCTCTCTCTCTCTCTCCCTCTCGTGTCCGCTGTTACGAATGCTGATTTCAACATGGTACCAAATGAGCAAGCCGTCTCCTTTGACCGTGCCAACCAACTTGGACCTGTCTTCTTCGAGCACGTGTTGAACCTAATTCAACACTGGAGGGGACCGCAATACAGGCAGGACAACCTACTTTGTGCGCGCGAACGGTTTGCTTGGAGCTTGCCAAATGTAGGTACCCCTGAGACCCCTGCGTGTTTGGACCTCAAAACGTCCCTGAAAGAACTGAGTCGATTAAGCGGGTAATCGTGTGACTTCTTTTTAGGGAACTGCGTGCTCGGTGAGGCCCATTTTTCTGGGAATTTGTTGATGAATATTGACATTGTCGCTGTCATTCTTTCGTCTATACGGTGCCAAGTTTTTGTATGTTACATCCCTTGTGTTGGCATGTTGCAAAGCATCTATGTATATTATTTTATGTTATACACTCACAGTCCTTACTTTTCACGACGCTCCGCACTAATGTCGAGCCCAAATCAATATATATATATATATATAGTGGGAGGGAATATTAAAGCCCTTGCTCAACTAGAACGACTACCCACTGCTGCTGCTGCTACTACTACTACTGCTGCTACTGGGGTTTGCTTGACTCACGGAACTCCAACCTGAAAACCGTTTTAAAAAACTTTTAACTAATCGATTTCACTGCCCCAAACAGTTTTTAAGGGGGTAGTACACAAGCCCCGAGTAGGTGAATGATACGATTTTTATGGGGTAAGATTAATAAGTAAACTTGGAGCCCTAGGACAAATATCTATACACAATTCCTATATAGTGCTCTGCTATTCCTGCCTGTTAAGATCTTTGCTTAACTCTTCTAAGGTTTGCTTGATTCACGGAACTCTGACCTGAAAACCTTTGAAAAACACTTATAAACACTAATCGGTTTCATTGGCACAAAACCAATTTTTCAAGGGGGTAGTACACAAGCCCGGGTAAGTGAATAATACGAATTGTTAAGGGGTGTGAATAATCAGCAAACTTAAAGCCCTAGGAAAAAAATACAATTACTTTATTTTGCTCTGCTATTGCTGCCCTTTAAGATCCTTGCTTAACTCTTCTGACTGCTGCTACTGCTACTGCTACTCCTACTCCTACTACTACTGCTGCTACTACTAGTAGTACTGCTTTTGGTGGTGGGGATTCTATTCAGACTCCCTGATTGTTTAGGGTGGCTTCTCTTTTTACTATTTAAGACCCAATATTAAATCACAAATAAGTTGGTAGAACCCACGAACCCGAAAGCACACACCTTTGATGAGTACATGGCTGGAGACAAACAAATCTAAACGCAGCAGACGGTGCAAAAACATTTTTCGGAAAGCATGTGCCCAAAACACCCTTTACACAAACCATCATTTACACCGACCAACATTTACATGAGCCACGGTTTACGCCAACCACCGTTTACACCAAGCCGTGGCTTCCACACCAAACCACGGTTTACACCGACCACAGTTTTTGCATGTTTTTACAATCAATACCACGTTTCATCAACAACAGTTACAGTTTACACCAAGCCACAGCTTCTACCAGTCATAGGGCAAGCCGACAAACCCTTGCCGTTTTCTTGGTTTGGGCTTTTGCGACGACTTGAGTCTTGAGCCAAACTCGCATGGTAGGTGACGTGGACCTTGCGCCGCGCGTCGTGGTTGATCATCTGCTCCTTGGTTTTGGCTTGACCTTTCCACGTGCTCAACCAGTAGGCTGGTTGGTGGCCTACCCCCCGGACCTTCCGCGCAAATACACATGTCTCAGCCATGATGGCTGGCGGCACACTGCAGCAGCGCTCCAATGGCGAAAACTGGCGAGTTTTTCTGGCCCCTTGCGTGCAATCGCACCCGCAAATTATAGGACTGGATAACCCCACATGTTCACAACTTCACCAGACACACGAGCGGACAATTGGTGGTTGGTTGGTGACAATTGGTTGGTGGCAGTTGGTTGGTGGCAGTTTGTGGGTGGAAGTTTGTGGGTGGCAATTGGTTGGTTGCAATTTCCTGGTGGCAATGGGTTGGTGGCAAATGGTTGGTGGCAATTGGTTGGTGGCAGTTTGTTGGTGACAATTGGCGGGTGGCAGTTGGTTGATGACAACTGGTTGACGACAATTGATGGGTGGCAATTGGTTGGCGTGACAGTTGATTGATGACAATTGGTTGAGGACCATGTTTTTTAGAAAAACAGGCACTCAAAAATAACCATTTCAACAGGGCAGAGACCTACCAACCAGTTGTCACCAACCAACCACCATGCCCAGCAAGGCATGCTTGAAACGGATTCCGGGTGGCCTGGCCAACCGGAGGCCAGGGCCGGGCTCTCATCAAGCGAGATTCTGAGCTCGTGTGCCCCATGGCAGACATCAGGCTTGTTTGCCTAATGTGATTGTGGCCGCAGCCTTGTCCCATGAGCTTGCTGCTGTCAGAGTCCCTGCTGGAAACAGAACTATGCAGCTGCTTAAGCCACTAGCCTCTTGTTGGCACGCCTGGTGTTGAGAAGTTTGGCCTGGAGGAGAACCTAGCGCAGAGTGCGTTGGAAGTGAGCGGAAAAAAGGAAGAGAGGCTCAGAGGCGCGAGAGAGAGAGAGAGAGAAAACAGAGAAGGAGAAGGAGAAGAAGAAGAAAAAGGAAGAAGAAGAAGAAGAAGAAGAAAAAGAAGAATAAGAAGAAGAAGAAGAAGACGAAGAAGAAGAAGAAGAAGAAGAAGAAGAAGAAGAGAGAGAGAGAGAGAAGAGAGAAGAGGGAGAGAGAGAAAACAAAGAAGAAGAAGAAGAAGAAGAAGAGGAAGAGAGAAGAGAGAGAGAGAGAAAACAAAGAAAAAGAAGAGAGAAGAGAGAGAGAGATGCCGTGGTATTTGAAGAGCAGCAGCAGCAGCAGCACACCAGTAGCAGCGCGCCAGTAGCAGCGCCAGCTGAGAAGCTCAATGCGAATCAAATCACAGCAAAGCTGCATCAGCAGTCAGCAGTCAGCAGTAGAGTAGAAAAGAAGCAACAAAATAACGGGGCCGGAGGCGAAGCTCCATACGAATCCAATCACACCGAAGCAGCAGCATCAGTAGCCACATGACGAGGAGGGAGGAGAAGCTCGATACGAATCCAATCACACGAAGTCACGGTACCAGTACAATTCAAGGAAGATTCACCCGTCCCAGGATGGAGTTGATCTAATACGGCGCCCCCCCCTATCACACAAAATCGCCTTTAGCGAGCCTAAAATCATGGCGTGGCAGGATCCTGCCCTGTAGTATTTGAACTCGGTAGCTGAAGCTACCTTTTGTGATTTAAAGGGTTGGCGCTAGTCTTTTCGATCGTTTTTGTTTTACCAGGACCTTCACTCCAAAAGTTGTCGCCGCGGTCGTTTTGGGGTTTGGTGTCGCTTTTCGTGGTCGGCGCGTGGAAACCTTTGCCTTCGTTGTCTGAAGCAGAATTTTTCTGGCAAGCGCAAGGGGTTGGAGCAGTTTTTCCTGGTCGCGTCAATTTCATCAAATTTTTGCATGGGTCGTGAGCTTTGGAGTTGAAGAGGCGCAATGCTTTGCAAACCGCGTGCAGATTTTTTGTATTTTCAGCAGCTCTGACATACTGCCTGGCTTGCTGCAGAGAAGGGCTTCCTGGAGAGGTGGTGTTCGGTGGAGGGAAAGTTGCGCCTTTCATTCAGGCGCACATGAGCACTGAAGTTCTTCCGTATTGAATGTCAGTCGGTGCTTCCCACCAAGTCCAACGCGAGAGCAGGTACATGCAGGTGCACTTGACGCGGCTGAGAAAGGAGGCAATGAGGACGTGGCATGACGAGGCTAGATAAGGACAAGGGAAAAACTATTGCAAACTGGCGTGGGTTGGGGGCTCTTGGCTGGTATCGAACGCAGGCAAGGCCGCGCGCTGTACCGGTGGTTAGGTGGTAATCATATAGGTTCATATAGGGTTCCACAGTTTGCCCTGGATGTCAAATTCATTCATCATATTCATCACGCAAAAATATCGAAAACGCTGAGGCCCTGGTCATCTCTAGGCCCCCAGCGCCGAAGCCACCAGTTCGCCTCTGCGTGTCGGGCACTTCGCAGCCCACCACACGAGTGAAGAAGGCCTAGTGCCGTGGCTTGCGCGCACCACAGCTGATGGCAAAATGTACGGAAACGAACGCGGGTAAATGATGGAAAAATTAAGTAAAACTCAAAACCATGCATATAAAGGAGAAAAACAATGATACCTATTGAATTTCAATGGCCTCGCGCTGGAGCAAATCCTATGCTCCCTTTCACATCTTACACGCCATATCCACCCCGACCAAGCAGTTACTCTTGATGCTGCATGCATCAGCTCAACAGATCAACCCGACATCACGCCCGACGTCCCCTTTGCTTTTGGGTTGCGCGACCACCATGCAAGAGCCAAATCGCAGGGAGTTGTTGAAGCGAACTGGGGGGAGGTAAAGTGCGCGAAAACGCGAATTAGATTGAGAGCCGAGCAAGGGGTTGACCGTGTGTTGTTTTGCAGGAAGTGGGCGCGGGTAGCGCAAAGAAAACACGAATTACAAAAAAACTTGCAAAATGGGGGTGGGGGGGATGATGGGTTGCACTTGGGATAGTTTGGGACTTATAGTGGCGTCATCTTGGGCGATTTTTGGCGTTGGCTGGGACGACGCTAAATGTTTATTACAGCAACGGCGCGCGCCAGCAGCAAACAAAGCGAGGCCTTCCGGACCTGAAAGCGAAAGCCTAACCCCGACGGCTGGCGAAATCAATTTGTCGGTGTGGTTATCACGGTCAAGCAAAGTCTGGCGTGTTCTTAATTCAGCGTGGCACGCTGACCATGTGACACGCGGCAATCAGAGACTGCAAGATCAAGGATGTGTTTACACTACAGCGCAAGGCACCGGAGTGCTCCAAGGGTTGGGGAAAAAACTGCTCGATTTCTCATGGAACAGGTGCTGAACATCATCACAATCCGGTGCACTTGTCAACAGTCGATGTTTATGTTTTTCTGGTTGGTGGTTTGTTTAAATTCGTGATTTCATGCAACTGTGCACAGGACCGCAGCCGACGTTCCAAGGGCCAGTTCGAAAAAGCATTTAGTTCGACGGCGTTCAGATCCAGACTTCATGTCATGCCAAGCCTTCCAAGACTTCTCCGAACGGCTTCGGTTTTAATATCACACCTGGTCTTCAGTGAGCGAAACGAACGGGCATTCTGGAGACCTGAACAACCAAGTAAGGAAGCGCACACAGCGCCTCGCCAGCCAGCTCAAGGCTCACTCACTCTTCTTTCCAAACCCGCTCCTGCCCTTGATGAATAAGTCAGCGTTGAATTTGATGGACCACCGTCCTCGCTTCAAGGTGGTGCCAAGATGACGCACGTCCATCAACTTCCTTCCTCCATCGGCAATTGTGTTCTCCGTCGCCGTCCGTTTCAGGCATGTCCCTGGGCGGCAAGGTATGGAACTCCGGGCCACAGCGTATGCCAAGCGTTTCTGGGAGCCATATGCGTGGAGTAGAATGTGCGTTTATCAAACGCATCTTTCGCGCCCGCCACAACGGTCATGGGGATCACGGATCACATCCATCACGCTCTCCATGTAGCGGCTCCCCATGGGCAGCCCTTTGAAGGAAGCGACCGCCCTGTCACAAATGAAACCGTACACAAAATGAGGGGGTACGTAGATGTAGTGAAAGAAATTGCACACGGCCAAACGTCTTGGAAAGTATGTGTTGAACAAAATGGCGTTGAACAAGTTGTCGGCCAGAAAGGAAGGTATCCGTATTTCCACGTGGGCGCAGTGTATAGTGATCAAGAACTGCTTGAAAATAGACGGGCCCTCTCTGGCTTGTAACCATTGACTGTGAAATTTGGGCCTTGTAAGCTTTGCTGCTTTATGTTGGTTCTTGACGAGTGACCCCCCAGATGAATGTCGGCGCCGGTTTTTATGGTCCGCATCTTTCTTCAAAATACATCAGAAAGATGAAGCCCACGAACCCGAATGCAAACACGTTCCAAAAGCTACATATGTCCAAATGACACTCTTGTAGGACGCTCTTGTGGGTCACTCTTGTAGGAAACTCTTGTGGGACACTTTTACGGGACACTCTTGTGGGACACTCTTGTAGGACACTCTTCTGGGACACTCTTGTGGGACACTCTTGTGGGACGCTCCTGTAGGAAACTCTTCTGGGACACCCTTGTAAGACACTTTCGTGGGACACTCTTATAGGACACTCTTGTGGGACACTCTTGTGGGTTAGTCGTGTAGGAAACTCTTGTGGGAGACTCTTATGGGACACTCCTGTGGGACACTCTTACGTGAGACTCTTGTAGGACACTCTTGTGGGACACTCTTGTAGGACACTCTTGTGGGACACTCTTACGGGACACTCTTGTAGGACACTCTTGTAGGACACTCTTGTGGGTCACTCTTATGGGACACTCTTGTCGGACACTCTTGTGGGTCACTCTTGCGAGACACTCTTGTAGGACACTCTTGTAGGACACTCTTGTGGGTCACTCTTACAGGACACTCTTGTAGGACGCTCTTGTGGGACACTCTTGTGGGACACTCTTGTGGGACACTCTTCTAGGAAACTCTTGTGGGACACTCTTATAGGACACTCTTCTGGGACACTCTACTCTTGTAGGACACTCTTGTGGGTCACTCTTGTAGGAAACTCTGGCGGGGCACTCTTTAGGGCACTCTGGTGGGCCACTCGTGTAGGAAACTCTTGTGGGACACTCTTATAGGACGCTCTTGTGGGTCACTCTTCTGGCACACTCTTGTGGGACACTCTTGTGGGACACTCTTGTGGGACACTCTTCTGGGACACTCTTGTGGGACACTCTTGTGGGAGACTCTAGTAGGACACTCTTGGGGGACACTCTTGTAGGACACTCTTGTGGGACACTCGTGTAGGAAACTCTTGTGGGACACTCTTATAGGACACTCTTGTGGGTCACTCTTATGGGACGCTCTTGTGGGACGCTCTTGTGGGACACTCTTGTGGGACACTCTTGTAGGACACTCTTGTGGGACACTCTTGTAGGACACTCTTGTAGGACACTCTTGTGGGGCACTCTTATAGGACACTCTTGTGGGACACTCTCGTAGGACACTCTTGGGGGTCAGTCTTGTAGGAAGCTCTGGCGGGACACTCTTGTGGGACACTCATACGGGACACTCTTGTGGGACACTCTATCTGGGACACTCTTCTAAGACACTCTTCTAGGACACTCTATCTGGGACACTCTTGTGGGACACTCTTGTGAGACACTCTTGTAGGACACTCTTGCGGGACACTCTTGTGAGACACTCTTGTAGGACACTCTTGTGAGACACTCTTGTGGGACACTCTTGTGGGACATAGGACACTCTTCTGGGTCACTCTTGTAGGAAGCTCTTGCGGGGCACTCTTTTGGGACACTCTTGAGACCACCAATCATCCAGCTCACCAGCGGCACGCCGCGTTTACACCAGCCTGTTTCGCGTTTCTTAGTGGCTTGGCGCCGCGCAAACGCACTTTCCAGCAAGGCCGCGCAAATCCCAATGGCACTGCGACATCACGCACGTCGCGTCGCCACACGGTCTGCCCACACGCTAGAAGCAAACGTATCACACGATACCACAAATCATCCCGCTCACCAGCGACACGCCGCGTTTACACCAGCATGTTTCGCGCTCCCCAGTGGCACGGCGCCATGGAACTTGCATGGACTTGGAGGGTCAACCTCTGCCAACCTCTTGCCGACCTTTGCCGACCTCTACCGACCTCTCGTCGAGGTCGGTAGAGGTCGGTAGAGGTTGGTGAGAGGTCGGCAGAGGTTGGCGACGGTTAACCCTCCAAGTCCATGCAAGTTCCAAGGACAAACTTGATCCCCCCAAAACTTGAAGTATTGCTACCCGGAATTTGGGCGTTGGTGCAAGACTTTTGCGAACTTGATTCCTCCAAGTCCCAATTTTGACCCCTCAGGACCTGGAATTGGGACACCTTGACGCAAAATTTTTGGTGAACTTGGGCACTCCAAGTCCTAAATTTGACCCCTCAGGACCCGGAATTTGGACGCGTTGACGCAAGATTTTTTTGCTAACTTGACCCCTCCAAACACCAAATTTGACCCTCAGAGCCCGGAATTTGGGCGCCTTGACGCAAGATTTTGATGAACTTGACCCCTCCAAGTCCCACATTTGATCCCTCAGGACCCGGAATCTGGACGTGTTGACGCAAGATTTTTGGTGAACTTGACCCTCCAAACCCTAAATTTGACCCCCTCAGGCCCGGAATTTGGACGCCTTGACGCAAGATTTTTGGGTGAACTTGACCCCTCCAAGCCCCAACTTTGAGCCCTCAGGACCCGGAATTTGGAAAGGTTGACGCAAGATTTTTGGTGTACTTGACCCCTCCAAACCCTAATTAAATTTGACACCTCAGGACGCAGCATTTGGACGCCTTGATGCAAGATTTTTGGCGAACTTGACCCCTCCAAGCCCCAACTTTGAGCCCTCAGGGCCCGGGCTTTTATTAGGGTTTGACCCAGACCGACAAAACACATATTATGCATTCCAGGGGCTTTTCAGGGTATAACTGTGTTTTGTGTTTAGAATATGTACAAGGGATATGTAAAAGTTTCTAATGCTGGCACCAGCGAAACCAAACAACAACTTTTGCAGCCTTTTTGGCTTTCAGCAAGCCATGTCTTCAAACCTTTGAGAAAGGGTTGCCAAAGCGACCCTTGTAAAGAAAACCTTTGAAAAAGGGTTGCGAAAGGGTATGGAAAGAGCCAAAAGGCCCAGGGGCACCAAAAGGCCCCTTGAAAAAGGGCAAGACAGCAGGCTAGCCACAGCCTTGCTGAGCCTTTGGGACATGGCAAAATATCAGGCACTTAAAGTTGAGGGTCGAGATGGGCACCCTTCCAGTGCACTCTGGCTAGTCTTTTTTGTTTGCATTTTTGAAATTGTTTTGATCATAGTGAATCATGTTTTAAGCATAAAAATGTCACAATTAAGACTTACAAAAAGGTTTACAATGTAAAAATGACTCAAAAAGTGATTAGACATGATTTTGAACAAAATTCACCAACGGGGAAAAGTATGAGTGAACCAAAA